GCATGTGTGTGTGTTTGTGTGTTGTATATTTTTTTTTTCTCCAGTTGGTTCTGTTTTGTTTCTCTGGATAACCTTGACAAATACAAATATAAAATGCTCTATTAGGTCTTAAAATCAGGCTAGACAACATGAAGGAACAGACGGTCTTGCAAGATTTCCAGGACTTCCTGTGTTCAGTTAAGGCAGCAATGCCACGAGATGAGCCTTTCTTGTTTATTTTTGTACTTCCACTTCCTGTCAAGTGCTCTTAACCAGTGAATTCAGAGGTGCATGAACATTTAAATAAACTCAAAGAGTGCATAATTATGTGTTTAGTATTTCTCCTCCGCCCCCACCAATAATTTCAATTTCTTTAGAAATTTCTGTAATCGATTGGCAGAATTTTTATTTTAATTCAAAGATGAACACCATTACCTCTCTCACTTCTCTAAGGGCACATGTAAAGGTAGTGTTCTTTCTTGGGTAATAACTATAGTGACAAAAATTGTAACACCACCTATCAGTTTGTTATGGCTTATACCAGTGTTTCTCAAAATTCTGGTCCCAGACCAGCAGTGTCAGCATTACATGAGAATTTATCAGAAATGTAAATTCTTAAGGTCTATCTACTCCAGACCTTCTGAACCAGAAACTGTTTAAAGTTTGAGAACCACTGGTTTATAGAATCACTTCATAGGCATTATCTCATTAAATCTTTGAAACATGAGTTTGGTACTATTATCTGTATTTTACAGAAGAAGAAAATAAGGCTTGGAGAAACTAAAAGGTCTTCCAACGACCACACCAATAAAATGCAGAGCTAAGGCTTGAACCAAGTTCTTGTGACCCAAACCAATGCTCTTTGCACAACATCGTTGTTCTCTCCTGATATAACTCGCGTATGTTCCTAACATGTACCCCCACTGCCATAAAAGACTTGGGGTACTTTACATAATAACTCCACACAGTGGAAACGTGCCTAACCTAATAGGAAAACAACAGTAAGTGGCCTTTCCATAGAGCTCCTGTGTGTTTCCTCCTATTTATGCATGGCAATGAGGCACACAGAGAAGCAGGACCTAAAAACATTTGGTTCATGTGAAAACAGTTCATTCTGTCCTACCTTGCCTCCGATGCTCCCATCAAGAGGTTTTCATGTTCTTTCTGCTCAACTCTGATGCAGTATAGTTTTGTAACAGCAGCAGAATGTAAACAACCTCAATGTCCATCAGAATGGAATGGTTAATTAAATTTTGCAGTGGTTGTAAAGCATAAGGCAACTCTATATGGACTCATAAGGAAAAGATCTCTAAGACACCTCAACAAGAGGAAAAAGTAAGGTGCAGACAGTGCGTATAGTATGCTATCATTCATGCGGTGAAATGAAGAATAACTAACACACATATATGTTTGTAAATGCAAAGAATTTCTCCAGAAGGATAAATAACTCAATAATGGTGGTTTTGTCCAGCCAAGGGAACTACGGGGAAAGGAGAGGGGAGGGGAGATGGTGATTAAGAAAGGAAAGAGGGGGAATTACTTTTCATTGTTTTGTATTGTTTGAATTCTTTTAAAGCCACAATTAAAATGGCCTATTAAATTGTATCTTTATTATACATATATATTTATTTATATTTTTTATAGATTGGAAAGGACAGCATTCCATCTGCCCTTCATAATCAATTATGTTTTCATTCCCAAGAAGCTTCTTATAATTTTAGTCTAAACTACCTCTTTATGTAAATTCCCAAATTTCATCTCATTGGGTGAAGTGGAATTAATTCTTCTTAATTAATAGGAATTAATTCCTATTTCTAGCATACTAGGAATGCTTTCTTCATCTTTCAAAAGCTGCTAAAAACTCCCCAATCTAAAATCCTCTTGCAAACCTGGGACATCTCTGAGCCTAGGGTTCTCCATCTTGATTTTTTTCTAACACAAATTGCTTTCCACCCTGGTTCCTCCAATCTCAAATCCCAACCTGCCTCATACTTTTTAAATGAGCCAATGCCCAATAGATAATTAATGAGCTGTGAAGTGCCCTCACGGCCAGGTGCCTTCTTCCTGCGAGAGAACTAACTACCCCCAACTCCTCACCCTCTACAAAAAGCAAAACGGATGAGGAAGGGAAAAAGAAAGAATAAAAGAGTTTTGATAATTACATATAAGAGCCAGCTATAATTATGCAAACCAGGATGAGCAATGGTGAGTTCATTTAGAATGGATGTTAAAAATATTGCAAATAAAGGAGGAAGAATGGCTGTTATATACTAACAAGTAAATGTGTAATTTCTGGAATGAGTAAAATTTTGAGTGATTCATAAATAAAACTTAAAAGAGTGTAGGAAGCAGGATATGGGCTAAGTAAAAAATGTTTGTATAGGGGTTGGTAATTTATTGGGAAATAACTATAACATATCACAACCTGATTCAAGTGGGGAGGAATGGGGAAAGGAAAGGGAAAAAATATATTGGGTTGGCTGAAACAGCCCTATTTTGCTAAAAGAAAATGTGGAGTTATCTTATTAACATAACTACCAATTTATATTACTAATGATTTAAATCACCTAACTAGGTACTAGAGCGTTCACAAAATAACTCAGTTTGTTAGGGCATAGAAAGTGAGAGCTCTGGAGCCAGACTCACCTCAGATTTCTGTTCCAGTTTACAGCCCAGGAGCTTAACCATGTTGACTGATTGTTAAACAATGAATAGACATTATCTGTGCAAATCCACAAGGGTAGGCAATGTAGGGGAAGAGAGAAGAGCTGGTTTTCCTTGATCCTCGCCACCCCCATGTTTCTCCAGTTCACCCTCACACCAACCTCAGCTGATTAAAAATAAGATGCTTTCTTTTGTCCTATAACTTGACAATTATGGGGAAACTCTAATAGGAAGACACTCTACAGAAACACTATGGTTCTGGGGACTAAGGGAATTTTTAGTGTAGCTTTTAAGTTGGTTTTTAGCATAAATTTGTTAAGTGACTTCAGTTACCTTCTATTTGACTTTCTCTTTTCTAATTGATGAGGCTAATAAATTATCATAAAAATAATAACTCCAGGCTGTGGGATGTTACATATTTATTGGCATGCCAATGCTATAAGTAAGCATTGTTATTGGCATGCCAATGCCATTGGCATGACATGGCTCACTCTTTCCCTTTTAATTCAGCACTCTCTGAGGCTCAGCTTCCCACAAATCAAGATTGCTTTCTACTAACTTAGTGTGATCTGTCTCTATGACTGAGATTTTTCAATGATCTATGCAGGCGGTAGTCATTATAGGTGAATATTCATAGTATATTAATAGGGATTTAAAAATGTATCTTATATAGCTATTCAAAACAAAAGACTAATAAAGACTTAGGGGCATGACAGATGATTTAACAAACATTTATTTGGTACCTATTGTGTTCTGGGCACTGTGCTAACCATTTGGATGGCAATGATGAATAAGATGAGGTCCCTGCTTTGACATACTCTCAGTCTAATGGAAGAAATGGAAAGTACACATACAATTTCAATATAATAGTGCTGTAATAGAGTACATGAATAGAAAATCGTGGCAGGACAGAGGACCACTAATGCTGCCTGAGGCATTCAGCTAAGGCTTTCTGTTTCATCTTGAGGACAAGGTGAGCATCTTTGGCATAGCAGGAAAGGTGAACATGGCTTTAGAAGAGCTAGTAGCCCAGTAAGGGAGAGAGAGTAACAGAAAAATAGCTGTAAGACAATGAGGGAAGGACTTTAGTGGAAGCAGACATAAAATGCTATGGAACCCCAACATAAGAATTAGTTTTGTGACAGCAGTGGGAATGGGGTGGAGGCTGCGGTCAGCAAAGATGAGTGTAATAGAAAGGAGGTGACACTGCAACTCCACATAAAAGTAGAATCGAGATTTGCCAGACAGAAGAGGAGAGAAGAAACATGAGCATTCCAGGGAAAAGGAGCACCTTGATCTTAACTATGAAGGCACAAATGAGGAACATTCTGGAGTGTGTAAAGGCATATGGCGGTGGGAGACCAGAGAGTAATTAGAAAATCAGACTTGGCTATATTCTGAAGGGAATCTTATGCTGCACAAAGGAGGTTGGGCTAAAGTATATCCTGTAGGCAGATGGAAATTGAAGAAAGTTTTTGATCCTGGTAGTGACGTGATCAGATCTAGTTGTATAAATATGACTAAGGAAAAGCTGTATAAATATGACTAAGGTCACCTGGATGTGACCTTCCAGGTGTGAGGTGATGAGCTCTGATCTAGACTGAAGCAGTGGAATGAAAAATGAAGGGGCAGGAGAAGGTTTCTCAAGAGGTAGAACTGAAAGGAAGTAAGGAATTTAGAGGAAGGTCACAGTTCACTCTGGGAGAATGACAGGGGTTTTTTTTTTGGCTGAGCTAGGGAGAAAGGGAGAAGACATTTCTGTGAACAAATTGTAGGCACAGTGTCATTTCAATTCTTCACCAGATGTTGAATTTTTAGGTGCTTCAAAGGGAATTCCCTTGAGTAGTTGGAGATACAGATCTACTGATGGAGGAGAAATCAAGCCAAAGCATGAGATTGCCTAAGAGTGAGGGGGACTAGCAGAAGGAGAAGAAACAAGTGAGAAAGAAACCCTAGGGAACCCCAACTTCTAAGGGCTGGACCGAGGGGCAAAAAAATAAGGGAAGAGGCAAAACACTTAGAAGGATACATGAGGATGACCAGGAGAGGAAGTGAGGCAGAACTTGGAAGAGAAGAAGACTTTCCGTCTGGAGATAGTAACAGTTAGTGGCAAATGGAGAAGAGAGGCTAGTAGGATAGTGTCCATGGAGTGGTAACTCAATGTTCTTACCCACCTTGGTGACAGCAGTAGGATGGGGGCAGAAATCCGATGGCAGTGAATTAAAAAGAGAATAGGACCATGCTCCCTTTGGCAGCACCTATACTAAAATTGGAATGATTAACAGAGAAGATTAGCATGGCCCCAGCGCAAGGATGACCCACAAATTCATGAAGCATTCCATACTTTTGTCTTCCAGAGGAGCAGTTCCAGGAGGCCAAGCTTCTTGCGTGCATCACTTCAAGCCCAGGCCAGTGTGGCTGAGTAGATGGCTAAGTGCCCAAGGAGCTAGAGTTTTATCTGAGGAAAACCAAAGCCTGAAAAGGCAAATAAATCTTCCTCCCTCCTGTCTTCGGTCATGTAAAAGAGGTGTTTATTATTCAAAAAAAAAAGAAAAAAGAAAAGAAAAAGAAAAAAAAAGAGAATAGGACCTAATGAATAGAAGAAGTCATGTAGCCTTCTTTCTTGAGAATTTGATGATGAAAAGGTGAAATGTAAGGCATTAGCCCAGAAAAAAAGGAAGTTGAGCTAAAGAAAGAGTAGTTGTTTTTGTCACTGTTTTTTATTTCTTTAACATCTGGTGGAGTCTCGAGCACATGTGTGTACCCAGAAGAGAAAGGGTACATGAGAGGAGGGGAGATAACTGAGGAAGCCAGATTCTGGGGGCTCAGGGTGAAAGCCAAGGCTTGGAAAGTGGCGGAAGATTTTCTTCTGGGATAATAAGGAAGAAGGAAGCATATGTTGAAGCCGAGAGAAGTCTGAAGATGGTGAAGAAGGCCACATCAGTGAGTTTATCCCTGACGATCTTTTTTTTTTTTTTTGACAAGGCAGCTGGCGAGGAAATCTCTGAAGGTGAAAAGAGCGTGAATATACTGAGAGAGGATGTTGTTAATAAACACCAGTGTCTTGTTGTTAATAAACACCATTGTCTTAATAAACACGTTTAAACACATTGCTTCAGTTTCTCCAGTGAGTTCATTAAAGTCTTATCTCAAGAAAGGTAGTCAAAAATGACTATGGGAAATTCAGACCACAAACTTCTAGATACAGAAGAATCTACATAGAGCAGGACTAATACTGGGCTTACATAGCTTTGCTTGGGGTTCCACAAATTCTTTTGATAATGCTTCCTTTAAGCAACTTCAAGACAAATTTTGGGTGTAAGATTTACATTTTATTTGGAGTAAAATATTCTAGTACTTGGTATCCTACCAAAAATAAAAAATATAAAAAGGCACAACAACCAAACCTGGACTTCGCCTTAGTATGGGAAACATCATAAGCCTGGGAAAGAATTGATGTGTCTCTCCAGCCATTTTAGAAACTCAAACTACTGATTATCAGGTCTGGTGTGTGCTGCATGGTTGCCCTGAACAAATGAGCTTCAGACACGACCATAAAAGAGAGACATCAGACTAGACAAACTATCATTTAGAAAGAATTAAGACAGCCATATTGTATGCTAACCATCAGCTCATCTATGGCTGTTCTGGTGTCACTACTCTCCAGAGGCTACTTAATCTCATTGAGACAAGACAGCCAGCCTAATTGATACAGAAAATGAAAGCCCTTTGATCTCATATCAAACAGAGTCAGACTAAGAGAAGGATCCAGCAGGCAAGATGACTGTCTTCCAAAGGAGAATTAACACTGCAGGCAGGAAAGTGGGAAAGTGGTAATATCTTACTTTGGAATTTCATGGACTTGGTTGACTTAAATAATGACTGAAAAGTAATAAATTCATCTCAATGAATGAATGGGGTGTGTGTGCTCTTACTGATAAAGCGCTAAGAAATCTTTCAAATTATCAACATTTTCAGTTAAGTGTTATAGTACTGATGAAAAGCACAATAGAAGCATAATAAATGTAAGAACACCTGCCTCTGGGCACTTAGCTCTACAGGACAGGTGTTTGCCAATGTCAACCTTTACTGATAGGATCTGCTGCCCCTACTAAATAACTTCCTTGGAAGAGGTTTATTATATTATGATTTAAATAGCATTCACTAAGCTTTGTGAACAAATTAGGTAGCTACCCATGCAAAGTACCTGGCTTTGCAATAATCAGAATATCTATGAATATACTAATATGTCTGTAAAGTTATCAGAACACTTATTTGTGTGTCAGGAAACTCATAAAAATTGGTGTTCTCTATTCTAATGCAAAAAGTACACATTTCAACGATCATATCAGTTGTATTTTACATACTTAATATAATGGTGGTTTTGAAAACCAGCCCAAGACTATGCTTATATAAGTAGGATTAACTAAATTATGGTATTTAGAAAGAAAAAAAAGGATTACTACAGTGTTTTCCTTTCAGATACAGGGGATTACTCTGAAAAATAACATACTCTCTAGTTTAGTTGGTTCTGCCAACTGGATCTTATTCTTGATATATGTAAAAAGCCTCGAGTATCTGATATTTGGGAAAGTGTATCCTCCCAGTATTTGACATTTTTAAAGCTGAGAAACCATGAAAAAATACTATAAAAGAAGTGTTAGAAAGGAATCAAGACAGAATATAAAATAACATCTTTTTCTTACCCAAGACAGTATCCGTAATGATGAATAATCAAATCAACAACAACAAAATAACATGTATTTGAATGAACCTAGGAAAAAATGTGGCTGATTGCATATTATATATGGATGTCTCCAAAATAAATTCTGGCCCTCTTAGGATTTTTCTTCCAGTAATTTATAGGGCCAGACTTTAAATTTTTGGGCTGCTCAACTGTCCACTTCTTTTTTCTCCTCATTTAAAATTGACACCACTTCTCTGTTCCACCATCTTAAAGGCACCACAGCTGTTGTTTACTGAACTCACATGAGACCCATTTCCATCTTTCTAAATGAATATAGCACCTGGTTTATGATCTTCCTCCACATCCTCATTCCTCATCACCACTTTCTGACAACTTCAAAATTCATGCTGGGGACCCATCAGTTACCTCAGCTGTAGAGGCTCATGATCTTGTTCCCTGCAATCCTCCAACTCCACCCTACTTCAGCCATGCATCAGCAATATCATCCCTGAATTTAACCATTATAGGCACTATTTGTTTTTGATGCACAACCCCCATATGTGCTACTGCACTCCTCCCCTTCCCAACCTTCTCCCTGCTTTCCGCTCACTGAGTTTAATAAACACTCAATCCTTCATAGTTTAATCCATCCATAAACACTCTTCCCAGCCTATTATTGCCCTCCCCACTGAGGTTCCTGTCATATTCTTGTGACCCACCATGTCAGTGGGCAAACCTATGTCACACATGCGGTCCAGTGTTCTGTGCGTGCCCAAGAGCATTGCTGGAGAAAAGCTGGGTTGACTCTGACTCACTGTAACACACTCATGCTCCCTACCACTGTGCCACAATGCCAACAACAATCCCTGATTCAGTGCCGAGAACATTCTCCTCCACGGCTCTGCACACATAATTCTCTCCCATGTACCTCAAAATCTCATATAACCTTCCTGTGTCATTCATAGCAGAGACTTCCTGAAGCAATTGAATGTAACAGGTCTCATATCCCCTCCACATCTCAAAATACACCTGTCTCTTCATTTAACTTCCTTCAATTTACATCTGCTTCAAAGGCACTTTTAACACCATTTATCTGACTTCCAATTCTCACCTCAAGGTCTCTCCGGAAGCCCAACATCATATTACAACTTTTTACCTGAGGGGTTCCTGGGTGGCGCAGTCATTAACTGTCCAACTCTTCATCTCGGCTCAGGTGGTGATCTCATGGTTCATGGGTTTGAGCCCCACATCAGGCTCTGTGCTGATGGTGCAGAGCTTGCTTGGGATTCTGTCTTTGCTCCTCTGTGCCCCTCTGCTGCTTGTGCTTTCTCTCTCTCAAAATAAGTAAACTTAAAAAAAATAAAAGACAAAAAAAGTTTTACTTGAAATCATTATTACAATATATGTTAACTAACTTGAATTTAAATAAAATTTAAAAATAAAAAAATAAAACTTTTTATAACATGTCCCCATGCTGAGTACTAAGCTGGCACGTGGTAGGCACTCAATAGATATTTATTGAATGAATGGATAAATAGATTAATCTATACCTGGATGTTTTACTTCCAGTTTGACTCTAGGTAAATGGCATTAACTGGAGAAGAAAAGGATCGTCAAAGAGGAAAACTGCTTACTGCCTCTTCCATTCCAGCTGTTGCTATTACCTTTGACTCTAGTCTTCGGTGCTGTATTGATTTTTCAACAACAGAGCTTCTTTTTTTCTTTTTTTGAAAGTAATTGTAAGATGGAATCAGGCCCACATATGATTACTCTAAGTGAAATGAAAACAACTTGATTGCACACATGGTGTTTTAAAGGGCAACAATTAAATGTATATTACTTAAGTACACAGCATGCATAAAGTAACCTATTTATAAAATCAAAGGGGCATAACATCACCCCAAAACCATCCTGATCACTATCATACTTCTTTTACATTCAAATTCTAATCGCCTGATGACTACTGTTTTTGTGTTCTTCAAATGTATAGGATCCTTATGATGGTATAAAAAATAGTCACCCACCACATCGTTCTATATATTTTCCTACATGCTGTTTCTATTATGTAAGCTATTTTAAATTTCTTATGATCTTGTTAAAAATATGTGTTTATAAATTGTAAATTCTGTTTTTCTGGTTTCTACAGCTATGATTTTTTTCCCCTCTAAATATGGATGGATTCCAGAAAACCCAGAGACAATATCTAACAAGATCAGAGCAGAGGAAGGAGAGGAATGGCAAATAAACATTTTCCAGTGTCGAGTTAGGAAGATATTCGATCTTTCAATGTGCTCAACAAATGGGTTTAATAATGCACATTTTGGTATAAAACAGTTCACAACAGAAATATTTGCTACTCAGCCCATTTATCCTGGGAATTACACAACATGGACCATTTTCAATAACTCTTTTCATTGTAATGATTTCCTCCTGCTCAAGCAACAGAGATGTACAAACCATTTTGGCCTAGAAATGTAATATGTCGAGATACAAATGTATTAAAAAAATTAAAATACAATCATTTTCATCACTTTGGTTCAATGTTATATTGTCTTTCTCAAGGTACTTTAGCCTTCTAAACTCTTTCCAATGAGAATATAAAACTTCTTTTTATTCAGAATCCATACAACTTGACAAAACAGATTTATTTAAAAGTCATAGTAAATATTGATAGACCAAAACAAGAGATGAATATACTTTTTTAGGAGACCAGTTGGCTTCTCTTAATCTTGAAAGTTAAAGATCTTGAAGCGCCTTTTGAATCATAAGAAATAACATTATGTTTGGTATAATTTTGACTCATGCAAATATATGTATGTATGTGTGTATTTATTTCTTTTGAGAGAGAGAGAGAGCAAGCAGAGGAGGGGCAGAGAGAGAGAGGGAGAGAGAGCATCCCAAGCAGGCTCCACACTGTCAACACAGAGCCCAACATGGGGCTCCATCTCACAACTGTGAGATCATGACCTGAGCTGACATCAAGAGTCAGACACTTAACCAACTGAGCCACCCAGGTGCTCCTGTAATTTTATATTTTAATGTCAATCCATACATATCATATAGATAGTAACTTTTTTACTTAATTGAATTACGGAAAACCTCTTTGAATATTCTGAATGAGTGGAAGTCTAACATCATCCATTTAATTATTCATTAATTTATTCAGCAAACAGGTATTGAAAGCATATGATGTGTATAGCACAACAGTAGAAACTAGTTCACCGAGGAGTTAACAATTAAGAGAGAGAATTAAGATATATCTCTATATCACTATAATTTACAGTATAGTAGTCTTCTCCTGCCCCAACTTACCCACCAGGGATATGTTCCAAGACACCCAGTGGATGTCTGAAACTGCAGATATAACCAAGCCCCATTATACTGGTTTTTCTTATGCATGTATACCAATGATAAAGTTTAATTTATAAAGTAGGCACAGTAAGAGACTAACAATAATAACTTACCAAAATAGAACAATAATAACGAAGCTATGTGAATGTGATCTCTCTCGCTTTCTCTCTCTCTCAAAATATCTTATTGTATCGTACTCACCTTTCTTTTTGTAATGATTTGCGATGATAAAATGCCTGCGTGAGGAGGCGAAGTGAGGTGAATGACATATGCATTGTGACATAGCGTTAGGCTACTACTGGCCTTCTGACGATAGGTCAGAGGGGGATTATCTGCTTTCTGACAGAGCTTGACCACAGGTAACTGAAACTGTGGAACGTGAAACCACGAAAGGGGGGGGGGTCTACTGTAATTATTGCCACAGAAGATATGTTGTAAAAGTTTACAGGATCATTGAGATTTGAGATAATTTTTTTTTTTTACTGGCCTGACAATTTAGTCTTACAATTTTATGTTTCACAAAGCTACATGAATGACAACAACATAAAGCACTGCACTCACTCATGGGTTTATTCTTTCAGCCTTTGTGTACTCAGAATTTTTTACCACATTTGTCTAGTACTTGAAAAGCAAAAGTTTCATTATTGAGCATGTATTGTGAGAAAGGCACTAAGCTGAGCACTCATCCCAAACATCAAAAATGAAGATAGCGGACATGGTCCCTTTGCTCAAGGAGTTCCTAATCTTATAGGACAAAGAGGAAAAAATACACATTTGCACTGAACATGTCTTTCATTCCTTCCTACATTCTCACCATCACTGGAATTGAATTTTATTAGGCATCAAAGTAACCACATTATTTCATCCATGCCCCCTAGGAGCAGCAAGCAATACAATTGGTTATGGTCGATTTTATGGTTAGCCCATGATTGTTGATAAGACAAGTCAGTGTTTTCAAAAGCACTGGATGCTGCTGGTATAACCCACACATAGGTTAAAAGTGCTGAGATGGCATTTCTGATCAACTTGAGCAGCAAACAGTCTTTGATAAAGGGCCTCAGATGTCTAAAGCAGAAGCTGCTTGAAAGAACAAAATTCTACCCAGGAAGTGAGAGCCTGAAAGATTTGCTTCTGGGGATTCTTCCTGGTGACATGACAGGTCTTTTCCCTCCTGTGAATGAGAGCAGAAACAACAGAAGAATGGAGGAGAGGACTGGCAGCTAATGCAGAACAGACTGCAATGTATGAGAGAGGAAGTGTAGGAGAAAGTAAGAAAAGGCAAGATTTATGAGAAGAAAGGGAGGGAAGAGGAGGAGGGAAGGAAGGAAGAAAGGAAGGAAAGAAGGAAGGAGGGAGGGAAGGAAGGAGAGAGGGAGGGAAGGGGAAAGGAGGAAGAAAGGAGAGAAGAAAGGAAAGAAGGAGGGAGCAAGGGAGCAAGGGAGGGGGAAAGTAAGAAGGGAGAAGACTGCATATATCACTAGTAGCAAGGGATCCAAGGGTGTGGTGGCAGTACCGATTGAACACAGAGTACTGTGCAGTAAATCCTGGGCCAGGTGCCCAGGAAAAAGGACAGTAAAACTCTTAAGAAGTGACAGCTGTTTTATCAGGAGGAATATTAGTAATAATCATAACTAACTATGTACTTTTTATGTGCCAATCCTGTTAAGTGCTTTACGTGGATTAACTCATTAAATCCTCAGGACAACCATAAAGGCAGGGAGTCTTAACCCAGATAAAGAAACCAAATTTCAGAGAAGTTAAGTGACTTACCAGGGGACACAAACAGCTCAGTGGCAGGACCTGGGTTTGAATCACCAAAGCCTGGCTCCTGTGATGCAATTCTTAAGCACTGAGCTACACCTCACTGGCTCTTACCGGGCTTGCAAGACTCTAGATTTGTAATATGGTAGGAAAAAATCATGATGGATTGAGACCTGAATCTGCTCACCTCTGGCTTCCAAACTTCTTCCTACTCTTTATATGAGGAGAGACAAGTATTTTAAACAAAACTCACATTTGTTATATACACATTCCAGTGTAAGACACACATTCCAGTATAATTTCAATTAACTGAATATACTGACTTTATAGTGGCAATAATTTTAGATAACAATCTGTGGTGTGTTGAATCAAATTATCCTTAAGTAACATTTTTGTGAACAATTTCAGCTGAAGCCCCTAGCAGAATATTGGTTGCATGTAAAATACATATAAATTCAGAAGGATTGCCCTAAAGTTATGTATTATAGAGAGTTATTTTCATTAATAAGCTGTCGGCTAGCCAACAATGGGCTAGTTGTGAGCTTGGGTAAGAGGAGAGATCATTTATTCATTCATTTGACAAATATTTATTGCCCACTATGTGCCAAGGAATTATTTTAGTGATAAAAGAGAACATAAAACAAATTTTGAGCTCTTCTGTAGATTATATGCTGGAGGTGGGGGGAGACTGACACTAAACAAATAAACAAATAAGCCTATAATGTGTTAGAGGATGATAAGTGCTAAGGAAGAGAAACAAAGTGAAATAAGATAGATGGGAGTAGATGCAGTTCATGTAGGGTGGTCAGAGAACATCCCTCTGATGACTTCTGAGTGAGACCTGAAGGAAGTAAGGAAGACAGCCATGCTTATGTGTGGGTGAAGAGCATTTCAGCAAAAAACAACAACAACAACCAAAACTCCAGCAAGTGCAAACCTCAGAGGCATGAATGTGCTTGGTAGGTCTGAGAAACACTAAAGAAGCCAGTATGGCTGCCGCAGAGGAAGCAAGGGGCAGAGTGATGAGAAGAATCAGAGCAGAAGTGGTGCAGGGCAAGACTGCGATTTTATTCTGAGAGAAATGGAATAACAATGGAGTGTCTGACACCAGTGAGCAGTGATTTGAACTGTGGACATAGACCTAGGAAGTTGAAAAAAAGAAAAAAAGAGGGTAGGATAGGGGAAGTGAGGTATATCTCCCCTTGCATGCTTCTAGGGAGAGAGTATGGGATAGGAAATACAAGGTTGTCTAAGGACAAATAAACTTCTGCTAAGCTCAGAAGGCAAGGTTGACAGAGAAGAGATTGAGAGGATGACAAACAGCTCTTAAAGGGAAAAAGTGGGAGCCAGGGACTGTGGAAGAGTGATCAGTGGAGGAACTCTTGCAGGGAAGCAACAGAATGCGTGGCTTTTAAGACAAATGTCAGCAAGTATGGGTCACACCAGAGCAGTGGGAATGAAGAACAGAGAGCCACATGGAAGGAAAAGGGTGAGGAAGATGGGGGGATGGGGGGGCTGGGAATAGATGAAGAAGGTTGAGCAGTACTGGGGTAACGTCTCAGGTGAGACAACCCACTCTCTCCTCCATCTGTCACATACCCAGAGACCGTTGTGGTTTTGTCAAAGCCTAAGATGTTTGGTGTGTACTATTTCTGGGGTTGTTCCTCCTGCAATGGGTAGATGTTTCAAACCAGTTTAAAAAAGAAAATCTTGTTGGTCAAAGGGTTAGCTGTCTTTAAAAAGAGATAGAATAGGAAGTGTGATTTCATGAAAGGGATATTGGTTGCATACTAATATTTATTAAAGGTCTGTTAAATGCAAAATGCACAAAGTAGAAAATTAATTCTCACCCCGGTTTATTATAGCAGATAATTGTATCCCTACTTTATGGGTGAGGGAAACTGGGGTTCTGAAAGTTTAGTAACCTACTCCAAGGTCACATTGTGGCCACACTTCTGGTTCCAACAGCATAAATGTCCCTGCACATCTAGGGAAGACCTTCAAGCCAACTGTGCACGTGAGCCAACGTAGTAGAAAACAACACAGGGACAACAGCCTGTTCCTCTGCACACGTTTTGGATCAGCAGTTCTCAGGATTTCTGATATTTCTGGAACTCCTCAGATTCACAGCATACTGCCTTTTACTCTCCCGACCCCCCCACACCCACCCACCACCACTTCCCACTGCCTCACAGGACACTGGCTGCCACTCACATTTTCAATGGTTTACAGATATGTCACATCTCCCAAAGTTATGCTTCATGGTATCTTTAAAGAATTGCTGTGATTAGCCAAGACTTCTAATCTTTAGTATCCCAGCTCTGTGAGTACTACTGTAATTTACTTATCACATTTTATTAATGAGGGTTGATTGACTTAATCCATCACATTTAGTTTTAGTCCAGTAATTAAAAGCCTGGCTCCTCTCGCCCCACCTAGTGAATTTTTCTAATGTTTTTTTCCCCGAGGCATTCATGTCTATTGTCTTGAAAATCCAGAGACTTATGTTAGAGAGCCCCAATATATTTCACATTTGAAGTCCAAACCCCTCTTTGGGTTGCTAACATCAGAGTCCCATCCACTGGCACTGTTCTTGTTTAGGGCATTTATAAGAACAGATGTAGAATGATGGTGCCAAACGATAGCATTTTCAAGCTGCAGCAGCACCTATACAAATCGTTGAGTCTTATCATCTTTTTTATTGACAAAGACCTTAAGGTCTCAGGGCTTAAGTGTGTTGCCCAGGGTCACACAGGTAGTTCATGGCCAACTCAGGTTAAATTTCAGGTTTTCTGACCCACAGACCAGCAACCTCAATTACTCTTCCAGATCTTCTCTTGCAAAGGTAAAACTCTCTGTTGCCTCTCTCCAAACTGTTTTCATACCATCTTCCTAAATGATTAGCAAACCCACTTAATAGGCATAGACACTGAAGGTCAGAAAGGTTACATGACTATAACTGGGGGTACAGTGAGCATTGCTGTGAGGAAGAACTAGGAATAAAACACAGGCTCTTGACTTAGAAATCAAGGATTCTTTCCTTTCACATACACTCATATAGATATTAAAGACATTGTTCAATAAAATTAGCAATCTTTCTCAGTTCTGGGCTATGTAGTTTCTAATTGATCTCATAATTTAGTACTTGCTCTTTTTAAAGAAAAATTGTTTAACTGGAATTTGCAGGGGGAGGAAATGCAGAAAATTACGTCGGTATTTTTTGCAGGTAAGATTTTAGAATTTGTCTTTCAGTCAAATTTAGAAATTTATCTGAACACATTTTCTTTCAGACAAATATGTTTGCAGTGACTAATATCTTCAACGCAAGAGAAAACACAACAAATCCACAGAAAGTAACAGGACAACCTGGTTCTTTCCTATTTAAGCAAAGTGGAACACTGTCGTCAACTTTTCAGATGTTATTCTATTTATGCCACACTGTTCTGGTCTGTCTGTGCCTGCTTGATTCCATAACACTCATAGAGAGAGACAAGAACAATTGCTGCATTTCATTGATCACCTACTATGGTCAAATGGCACAACCAGGTGCTGGATCGTTGCCAAGAGGAACAAGGATGGTAAACTCGCTTGGAGAGCTCAGGGTGGTAGAAAGCAGAGCATCAAGCTTGTAAGGAGGTAGAAAGCAGATGGCCTCAAGGAGTCAGAGCTGAGAGGGATGTCGTTCAGCTGAGGGGATCTCCCAAGTTTTGAGAGCTGGGCCCTAAAATGATCATAGGATTTAGAGAAGAGGAATAAAAGGAAGGGAACTGCAGGTAGAAGAGACTGATTCTGAAATCCTGACATCTCTATCCTTAAACTTTGCTGAGATTATATAAAAAATTATTATGCTGTATCTCCCAGAAGGGAGTAGGAAGAAGTAGTCCCAGAAAAGAGGGATGAAGGATATAAAGCCAACTTTCTCATTGACCAGTACTTACTAGACATAAAATACTTGCCAGTTACTGTGCTAGGCATTGAGGACACTATGATGTGAATGACAACAAATTTATAACAGAGTTTAAAAATAGGACTCTCCAATTTATGGTAAAATGTTTGATCCACAGAGCTATGCTATTATATACTTTCTTACAGAAATTCAAAGACCCCTGCAAAGAATGCCGTTGTATATTATTTTTGGGAAAAACCCATAATGAGACAATGTAGAAGAGTTACATGAATATGGGCACATACATTACACAATCTCATTTCAGTTTGAAGATGGATTTCAGTGTATAACAGGACAGACACAGAATGCCATTCATCCTAAAAGAATTAGATTGCGAGGACACTCTATACTCAGAGCCCTGAGGCTACATCTCTTGGCCCCAGGACCTCAGCTTGTACTTCCTTCACTTGCCCCTATGGTCAGGCCATTCACAGAAGTTTCTCTCAGGTGCCCAAAAAGAAGCTTCTCCCTTTGCCCTTCCTTCTACCTCCCAGATCCCACTTTATCATGATTTACCCCCACTGTGTTGTACCCTCACTGCCTCATCTGAATGGTCTATGTAAAGCATGTACGCACCTTTCAGCTCAACCAAAGGCAGTTATGCCAACACAATTGTTAGGCCATGTGTGCAGCGGAGATTCAAGTATTACCTTAGGAAAGAGATGTTAGAAGTCAGTGAAAACTGTAGGACACTATAAATCAAAAGGAAATGTAAATATTTCAATGTGATTATCACCATCTTTTATAAGTATTTTTACAGTTATTTTGCTGATTATTCAGGATACTAATATAGATGATGAAAGGATCTTAACACGTTTCGAACATGTCACGACAATACGCCAAGAACACACAGGTATTCACACACACATACATAAACACACACACACACACACACACACACACATACACACTAAGCAAAGAGAAGATATGAGTGCCTATCAGAAGGGAAAAAAAGAAAATATGACAATTATACAAACATGAACATAGTACTGACATGTTGCACAGGAATAATTATAGAGCAGTAGAACCCACAAAAATGGAAAGTTCCAAAAAATAATAATGTCTGGGTTTTTTCTTAAATTTATAAGCTACTACCTGATACATTTTTTCCCTCACGACAAATATCAAAATTTGCAAGTTTCACTGCTTAAATCCAGTATATTAGATCACATCACATGCAACAACAAAAAGAGAAAAAAAAACAGGTGTTTTCCAAATCAACTAGAAGTAATTTATTTGGAAGACTGAATTAAAAAAATCCTTTAAAATGCAGAATTTTACAATTGAAGAAAGTTGGTAGTACAATTGAGTTTTCCTAGAATATTTAGTAAATTTTCAGTATTTTAAGGGAAAACCTAAGAAAACTTCTTGAAAATGCCTGGGGAAGAAAGAATGCATTAAAATGCACTGCATTATATTATACTATTTCTGTTAACATTATAATTTTTCACAGTAATTACTCAACAAAGATAACATTTACATACACAGATAAATCAAGTTAAAGATGAGGGCAACTGATCTTAAAGTTATTAAACCAAAAAAAAATTTTTATCAAAACAATAAATAGATCTTTATACACAAAAAGTATACATTTGCATGAACCTCCAATTAAAATTATTGTATAGTGGATTATAGCAAAACATTATTTCTGAGTTCCTAGAAAATATATTTTATAAATTCAAATAGCCAATATAAATCAGAGATGATTTAAAATTAGATGTACATTATAAAGTTACTAATTTTAAATAAATTACTCATTCCTTAAACAAGACTACAAATTATAGAACAGAATTTTAAATTTCATTTTTGTTTTAGGGAAAACAAAAATTTACAGATATCTGATATAAAATGTTCACAAAGAATGCATCTCTTGTGTGACACTAAGAAAACTTTCAGCATAAGCTACAACATCATATTTGAACATAAATACATTACTTCTAATTTTTAAAAGCCTGTAAGATGATTTACAACTTTCAGATACCAGATACATGGCATGCAAATCATAATTCTTGAATGCTCCGCATTCATTCATAAAAGACTCCTAAACAAAGGGGTAAGAATTTGGTTCACAGTGTAAAAACTTTGCACAAATTTTGTTATGATAACCTATTACCCACAGAGGAAGTTATCTAATAAACAAAAACAATCTGGTATTTACTAATTTTACACAATCCATTTTAAAACTTCCTGGTCTGAGGCTTGAACCAACTGGATTTTATGTGAACCATAACCAGAGAGAGTGAACAATGATAAATTAATAATATCAGAGAAAGCAGATGACATAAAGAGAGCTAACACTCAGGAATTATAATTAAATAAAGTTTCTTTCTCTCCTTCTTCTTTCTTTCTTTTTCCTTCTTTCTTTCTTTTCTTTCTTTTCCTTCCTTCCTTCCTTCCTTCCTTCCTTCCTTCCTTCCTTCCTTCCTTCCTTTTCTTTCTTTCTTTCTCTTTCTTTCTTTCTTTACCTCGTACAAGTGATATATTAATCTAAATGATGGAATTTCAAATCTATCTATGGTTGTTGTCAAATTCAGTAATTAAAAATGCAACCCAGTGTAGAAAAGACATTTTTCTGTTAATTTAAAAAATATTTATGGCTTACTATCTTTCCAACAAATTATTTACCCAAATAAATTCTTGCAATCATTTGCTGGTTTCTATGACTATTTATTGACAATTATTTCTAAATTACATAAATGTGTTAATTACCAACAAGTAAATTTTGTTTTAAAATCATTGATAAGTGTAACACTTATAAAAATGGAAGATTCTCATTTGTATCTCTGTTTTAAAGTCTAATCATTTGTAGTGATCTAATATTTCATATAAATACAAAATCTAACAATTGGTTTCTTAAGTCTATAAGGTATGTGAGGTTATAGATATCTTTACAAATTTTGTTCAGAAATTGAATTTTATTTTAGAAGATATACTCCTAAGCACAAAATGTATTTTATGAATTATCTTAAGTATAAAGAAACACAAATATCCACTTTATCATTCAAGAATAAATTATTATAAGGGATTGCAAAATATTTGCTAATGGAAATGCAACAATTTTTATTTACCTAACCTGTTACTTCACACTGTAGTATAGAATGAATTTTATAAAGGCAAAATTGATTTACTCTGAAATTAGCAACATGGTTTAATTAAAAAAGTCACAAGATTTATAGAGGTAATATTTCCAATTCAAATAGTGTTTTGCTGGGCTTCAATTTTTCCAGAGAGCACTGAAATAAATAAATATTTTTTTGGCTTTACTTTAAGATATTTAAAAGGGTTTTAAGTATTCTACAGATACAGACTTTAAAGAACCCTGAATTCTTTAAAAAAAAAAAAAGCTATTTTTTTTTTTTTTTTTTTTTTTTTTTTTTTTGGTTTTGCTCCATTGTAGGAAGTCTTGAAGACTTTGTCTTTTTTTTTTTTTTGTCCAAAATCTCATTTTCACCTGAAATAATTGTATTCAGGTTTTCTTAGAAGGTAAAGTATACATTCTTACAAGGTTTCAAATTTCAGAATTCCAATAATGCATTTAAACTGAGCACCCACTGAATCACGTTCACTACTCTTTGTGTGTGTGTTCTGTGTGTGTAAATGTGTGTCTATTATCTTGCAGTTCTGTTATTTGTATTAAATTTTAGTCTTTTTAGCTCCCTAGAAATGCCTTAGTGAACCCTCAGCAATTGCTAACCACTTAATAATTGTGAACCCGCCAGCCCCTTCAAGTAGATTGTTAACCACAGAGTGCCTGACAATTTCCAAATCATATCCTCTGTCCAAAAGGAATAGATAGGGCTTTGTGAGGCCGAAAGGAAGCGAAGGAAAACAAAACAAATGTAGCTCATGCTGAAAGTGAAAAGTGCTTGGACAGATTAGTATTTTCTTTTCTGCAAGGCGCCCTGCCAGATTTTTTTTTTTTTTAATAGAGAAGAGTTATTTTTTGGTTTGATTTTTCAATTTCTTGGAAAGTGTTGGTATTTACCATCCCCTCATAATTATGGTTGGTTGTTTTGTGTTTTTTCCATCCGTCCACATCACAGACTACTGATCCCCCCGATTCACTCTGTCAAAACCCCAACTCTGGGCGACCGTGGGTTTGGAAACTCCGCGGACTCCCGACGACACATCCCACCCTCCCTCTCACGCCTCTCACTTTAGTAGCAAGATCCCCCACTCCAGTTGCAGCGAAAGCCGGAAATTTTCATTTAACTCCCCCCCCCCCCCCCCCCCCCCCCACTCGGAGCCGAGAGCTGGGGAGCTGAGAGGCTCAGAGCACAGCCGGGTCTCAGCCGCCTCGCCTCTCTCCGGAAGGCTTTAATTTGCACACTTGCTTGCCGCTCCGCAGCGAGCCCCTAACCCCGCCGCCGGGTGGGTCTCCAGCAGAGACAGCCTCCGGGGGCCCCGCCCCGCCCCCGCTCCCCTTGCGCTCTTTCCCCGGCTCCGGCCCCGAGTCCCGGCCGGAGCCCCGCGGCCCCGGTTCGCCCCCAGCGAGCCGCGCGGGCGGCGCCCTCAGCTGTCCCTCCGCCCTCCGCCGCTGTGCCCACCCCTACGCAGTAAAAAGTGCTGGTGACTCCTTCCTCCTGACGGGTTACCTGCTTGGCGCCGCTGTGGACACGTGCGGAGGTCGGACAGACACTCGCAGCCCGCTCCGGAGGCCTGACGCGGCAGGGCCCCGCAGGTGAGGAGCCGTGCGTTGGTGTGGGTGGGCTGCTGGGTGGGGGGTCCCCGGGGGAGATTTGGGAGCTTGGCCAGGGTCGGAAGCCAGGGTGTGGGTGGGGGTGACTGTGATGGTGGTGGTGGGGGGGGGGGTGTATTCGAAATCGGCTTTAGTTAACCCCTTACGAACCGAGGCAGGCTAATTACGGAGAGCAATTTTGGGGAGCTAGAGGAGTCCCTCCTAATCTGGCGAGAGGAGGACAGCCTACCCTAGGGACACCCGAACACTAAGATTCTGTGCCTACTCCCACATAGCCTTACGCACACCCACACACTCATCCAGCTTCTTAAAGCGGAATATCAACTCCACTGAGACATTCACAGAATAATCCACACTTCAGAGTTTAAAATGCACTGCCTCTGGGGACTCCATGCGGGACAATGTGTTTCCGTGCCCCATATTCATTTCCCCACGAAAGCTCTCTCCCCAGCTCGCGGAGGTGTGGGTGTGGCCTCCACCTTCCTCACCACGAGATAAATGTTAACGTAGGCTTCTTGCTGGCAGCCCCTGCGGGGGTGTTATCCACACTTACTGGAGTGCACGCAGGCGGCCAGTGCACAGGCTTGGAGCCCCACAAAGACGCACGTTTGCTTTAGTTTATAAAGTATAATTTACTTTTATAATTTAAAATATCCGAGTTAAAACGCACACCCTGCGGTAAGCAGCTCCGGGCCCTGCATTGCGCCCGACAGTGTGCACGTGGGGCGCATCTGCGTGTGCGCACACGCGGGAGTCGTGGTCCCAGTGCGGCCTCTTGTCGCTGCGCTGGTGGCGACCCTTGCGGTGCTTGGCAGGCTTCGGGAGAGGCACATGAAGGATTTCATTGAGTGTGAAGACAGAGAGCAGAGACAGAAAGCAGAGGGAGGCGGCTGCAGCCTTTGTAGTCGCGGAGGAATGCGGAAATGTTGAAGCACTATGTCAAACTTTTTTGAAATGGGGTCAAGTCACATTCAGCCAGCGTGGGAAAGCAACAACAACAACAAAAAAAAGTGGAGGAGAGGGGGGGAAAAGGCACTGTTGCTCCCGTTTCTCTCCGCCGGAGCCGACCGTCCGGGGAGCTAGGGGGGAGAGGTTGGGCGGGCGGTGCGGGGCCAGGCCCGGGCAGCGGGCGCAGCTCCCTGCGGGGGTGGGACGTCCGCGACGCTGCCTTCGCAGCTGAGCCTCCCGCTGGACTAGGGCAGGGAGGGGGGTGCGGGAGGGGCGGGCTGCGCTGCCGGCGGCGGCTCCTCGGCTACCTGTGTGGCCCTTTGCCTGGCTCAGACCCCTGTGCAGGCCCTGGGGGGTGGGGGGGTGGGGGGTGGGGTCTCGTTCCTTGGCTCCTCCAGGATTCGCCTTCACTTTCTAAGGAGAGTTTCGAATGGAGTGAGTGTGAGGGGCTCTGCCCCCGCTGAGGTCCCTTCTGCCCGCACACCGTGGGGATCGCGCCATTTGTTTCTTTAATTCCTGGCAGAAGGCGAGCGGGCCAGAACTTGCGGGGCAGGTAATTCCGAGGCGTCCCGGGAATTCCGGACACGCGGCCGGCGTGGTGAATGCCCCGCCGAGGCCGCGGCGGCCGTGGGTTGGAGGCTCCCTAGGTCCTGGATTGCAACTCAATGGGGAAGGAAAGTGTGCCCCTCCCCTAGCCCCCTCCCCGCACTTTGTTGTGCGGAGGGCTGGGGGAGGTGGTGCGTTTGGCCCCTGATAAGACCAGGCCTTAAGCCGAAAGAGGAATGGAGCAGCCTCCTCTGCTACTTACTTCAGAGACGATCCAGGGAGTGGGAAAAGGTTCTGGAGTCCTGGCCCCGAGGACGCAGCCCCTTCTCTCTCACCCCCAAGGCTTGGCATTTACACCCCCCCTACTTCCAGCCTTTTTAAGACGAGGTTAAGTTTTGTTGAGGTTGAAATTAGTTGAAAATTTCAGGGCGAGTCACGGTCATGCTACCTTCTTCCCGAAGTTATTCTTTAAGGAGATGACAAGCTAAAGAGCGGCGAATACCCTTTTCTCCCACCCTTATGGTCCCGTGGGCGACTCCCCCTCCAGGGCCCCAGCGTTCCTCCACTCTCGAGTAGCGGGAGCCTCAGCCCTCCCCGACCCCCATGGGTTTCCACCAGGGAGGTCCTCCGAGTCGGAGAAAGAATTCCGTTTCCAATCCAGACTCCTTTACCCCAAAAAGACCATTTGTGTGTGCAAGTCGTTTTTAAATGTCTCCTCGTAGAAAAACTGAAAGTAGAAAGAAAGGAAGCAATTTCCGAGCAGATGTCTGACCACCCCTTCTCGCACACTCCCAGCATCGGGTTACAGGGTCCTGGGAGCCCCCACCCACATTCTGCAGCCCCACACCGATGGACCCACAGTCTCTCCACAGCAGCCTGGGTACGACCCCTGAAAGGCCCACGGCACCCTGGGAGCCCCACTCCCTGCACGTCCAGGCCCGGGGAGGTGGGGTGGGTAGCAGTACAACACAATGATGTAGGGATAAATATTAAGCCGTGACATTGACGTGCCCGGCACCTCCCCTCCCCCGCGCTCCCGGCACACTCTGGGCTGATCGGCACGCCCCCTCCCGTCCACTGCGTCCCGCGCCGCTCGCTCATCCCCGAGGGGCCCCTGCAACCTCTCCGCGCGAAGACGGCTCCCGCTCTGCAGGGAAAGAAAAGTAACTTCGCTTTTCTCGGAGGAACCAGGAAGGATTAAGCAGCCTGGGAGAGGGCAGGAGCGCACAGAGGGTAGCGACGGGGGCTTTTATGAAGGAGGAGGAGGGGAGTCTGCGGGGACCCGGAGGAAGGCGCTTGGGATGTCTGATTGCACTTTTTCTTGTCCTCCCGTCTCTTCTTTTAGGTGGAATGATTGTGGACTGAGACGCGCTGGGGCATAGGCTATGTAATCGCCTCGGTGTCTGTGCAGAGGACTGCGCTTCGGGGAGGGAAGAGGAGGGATCGGCTCGCTCCTTGGCGACTCGGCAGGCGGAGTTTCGCGGCGGCCCCGGGGTTGCGCCCGCCCGCGGGGAGGTCGCTCCATCCAGCCCCAGCAGCCGCGAGAGCCGGAGCGCGGGAGAGCGGTAGTCGGCGGGGCGAGGGAGAGCGAGACCGAGCTCCGGGGCGTGAGGGAGCGGGCCGGGAAGTCCGGGAGGAGGCGAGCGGCGGCCGAGAGCGAGCCGAGCGCGCCCCCCGCCCGTCCCAGCGGCGCCGCGCCGGGCGGCGTCCAGACGGCATGGAGAAGGACGGCCTGAGCCGCGCGGACCAGCAGTACGAGTGCGTGGCGGAGATCGGGGAGGGCGCCTATGGAAAGGTGTTCAAGGCCCGGGACCTGAAGAACGGAGGCCGGTTCGTGGCGCTGAAGCGCGTGCGGGTGCAGACAGGCGAGGAGGGCATGCCGCTCTCCACCATCCGCGAGGTGGCGGTGCTGAGGCACCTGGAGACCTTCGAGCACCCCAACGTGGTCAGGTGAGCGGGGGAGCGGCGCCCTCGCCGTCGGAGGCCGCGCGCGCCGGGGGAGGGCCAGGGATCCTCGGGGCCGGGACGCTGCCAGGCCGGAGGGCGGCAGGGGAGGCATGGCGCGACCCGTTGCCCTTACAGAGTGAGAGTAAGTTATGTGGACAGAGCCGCAAGCCAGAGAGGGTGACCTTGCCAGACAGCGAGCAGAAAGACAAGTCAGGAAATGTGACCTGCGCAGGCTTCCCTGCCGCTGTGCAAGTTCTGCGTATTCTCCCTGCTGGCCCTGAAAGAGGGTCCAGGAAGTTGGGTGCCTTTTAGGGACAGAACGAGCCAAGCTGAGACGTGCCCTGCCAGCCCCCGCATAGTTTCCCTAGCCATTGGGGAATTTTTGAGAGGCTGAGAATAAGAGAAGTAGCAGGATGCGGTGAAAATTGGGATGAGAATTTTCTTGGTGGAGCTTCGTTTAAATAAGGTTTAAAAATATAGAAGCATAAAAATATTTTTGCGAATCACATCCAGTTTTTCTTTAAAGTTATATAATGAAAAATAAGCATCAAACAGGGTGGCCTAAGAAACTTCTTCCAAAAATGTTGCCTATTAGTGTGTATTACTTTATGTCTCTGGGTCAGCATAATCTTTAGACTACTTCTCAAAAGTAGTGATGTTGAGTCCAAGATGTGGAATCTTTAGATTCCAAGTGTTCTGCTTTTGCTTTTTCTGGAGGGGTTGTGGCAAGTGGATGGAGAGACAGCATTTCTTAAAGCCTCTCCTGTGTGGTAACCAGTAATTAAAGTGTGTGTGACTACGATAATGGTGTTTTCTTAGTGATCCTGGAATTTCCCCATTGTGTGGTTGACATTGTGTGGTGTGTCATCCTTTTCTTTTCTAAGCAGATATGTGTAGTTTTAAGTAAAAAAGGAATGCACAGAAACTTGTACAAATTCGGGTGTGGGTTTACCTGTCAACTCTCAACCATAGTGTGTTGGAAAAAGGAGGTCTTGGGTATTCTTCCTGTCTTCTCATCTATGTGGGGATTCTGTTCAACAAATACATGCCTACTGTGTGCGCTGTGGATGAAATTATGTAAACAAACACAGCTAAATATTTTTGTAAAAAGTCCAGCAATTTAACATTAGTCATCAAAGTCAAGAGACCCAAGACTGACCTTTGAAATACCAAGCCCTCTAGAGACTCAGGGAGCCCAAGTGTCTACAAAATCTTCCTGGGAGGTTTTAACTTGTGTCCCCTTATCCTAGGCTGTTTGATTTGTGTGGTGCTTTGTTCCCAACACAGACTAAGCCTAGAAGGCTGCAAAGAATCATAAATACGTAAAAAAGGTAATAAATGGCTATGAAAATAGGACCCCCATTATACCTCTGCTTTAGCCAGTTGAGGAGAGGGGCAAAGGAAAATGAGACCAGGAGAATGAGTGTTTTAGGAAGTTGGGATTATACATAACAGCAACAGGTGACCTTTTGTGCGTGTTTTCTTTGTTGCAAACCGACAAAAACTCTTCTGATGAATCTTTGTGATGTTGGAGGGGAAAGGGGTGAGTACATTTTGTCCTCTGTAACTTAGGTATCTTCCTGGAAGAATCACTTAGGTTCTTCCCAGAATTTTAGGATCAAAGTTCTTGTTTTATTTTGTCTGTTGCCTATGGGGAGTGTCCAGTTTTTTACATGTAGATAAATAAAATACTGTCCTTCCAGCATAGAGGCATTATAGAGGCACTCCTGTGTAACACTATTTTTTACAAAGCACTATCCCTTTAACAGCAGGATGGTTGTTTTTGACATAGTGTTGGTAGATTTTGGCTAATCTATCTTATTCTCTTGATTTATACTCTTGAAATTGGTATGTCTTTAGAGATTTCTAACTGACCCGTGACTTGAATTCTGTACTGAGAAATTTCAGGAGGCTATACTCAAATTGAAGGTGAAGATATCTAAAGGTTTTCTAAAATTATTTTTACAGGTTAAGTGGTGATGATGATGCCTACCTCTTAAGAGTTGTGAGTAGGAGCTGAGATGGTGTATATGAGAGCAGTTTAAATTTAAAAATGCTTCAGGTGTCCAAGTGTTATCTGTTTTCATGCTGATTAGTGGGGCTGTTGCCTCCAAACGGGTTCCCAGTAAAATATCAGTTCACCTGACCGTTTCTATAAAGCAAATCATACTCAAACCCAGACATTAGAGGCTCTGGAACCAAGAAACTACTTGGATAGAACAAGCCTGTGGTTTGTCAGAAAAGACCCATCAGTCCTATGCCATGAAATTCAGTGGCACTTGAAAAAAAATTATTGATGATGTCATCTTCATGAGCTACATATCTCCATTCCATTTTGTTTCCTTCCTGTTTCTTCTCTTTGCCTCTGCCTTGGGGCAATCTTTGGTCCCCATGACTTCCTTAAGTAGACTAGGAATTCCAGATTTTGAAGGTTGCTAATATTTGTTCAGGCAGGGTTGGGAAATGAAGGACAGGTAACAACAATTCTTTTCCTTCCAAGGGAGAGTTGTCAAAGTTGGACCCCCAAACCTGTGACTTATTGGTGCCCCACAGTGTCAGCTTTACAATGCTAGGGCTGGTTCTTAAAAGGTTTCTTAAAAGGACAGATACCTCTGTAAGCGCCTTCAAGTCATAAGTATTTGATCAGAATTATAGGCCCTTCCCACAGGTAGTTAAGCCTCAAGCTTGAAGGGGCATCATAAACATATTAGTTTTTTCAAACATTTAAGAATTAATTTTGATGGATTTGCCAGAAAGGCTGACTTGTTATTGCTGGCACTGATACTGCCTGTATGCACAGGGATAATGACTTGAAATTCTTGTTTACCTGTGCTGGATGTATCCCAGGCCCAGGCTTGATCAGCCAATCACTGTCTAGCCTGTAAATTTACTCTTATTTTACAGTTGGTAATCCTAAATCCTAGAGCATTTGCCAAAATCAGACTTCTGTGTGAACCTATGTTGGAGCTTCTGTACTCCACAAAGGAATCGTTTTACCTTCTGACCTAAATATATATAGGTTAAAATATATATATATGTTTAAGCAGCAGTCTGTTGATTCACCAAATATTTATTGATGGCCTATCATGTACCAGACACTGCTAGTTGTTCTTTTTTCTCTTCAAAAATTCACTTCTCTTTATTTCCATTGGCTTGTTGTGCTATGTTTAGACTAACTAGTTTTATGAAACAACTAATATTTGTAATGATTTAGTTATCAAGAATTTGCTGATTGAATAAGACAGCCAAAACACGAATCAGAATCAAATGCTTTTTATAAATTTTTTTAATGTTTATTTATTTCTGAGAGAGAGACAGACAGAGTGTGAGCAGGGGAGGGGCAGAGAGAAAGAGGGAGACACAGAATCTGAAGCAGGCTCCAGGCTCTGAGCTGTCAGCACAGAGCCTGATGTGGGGCTCGAACTCATGAACCATGAGATCATGACCTGAGCTGAAGTCAGATGCTTAACCAACTGTGTCACCCAGGCGCTCCTGAATCAATGCTTTTCAAAGATTAACTTTCACCTTAGGGACAGATGTACAAATAGATTGCTACAAGAAGATATTGACGTGTAACTAACAGATAGGAACATTTGGGCTCCATGTATTTAACAAGGATTAGGAAGAAGGACCTACTATTTAAAAACCATGGGGGTTAGGTGCTGGGAAAGATGCTTGGGTAAATCACTTCTCTCACGTAATTCCCGGCCTGGTGTTTGAAGGAATAAGATGATCATCAAACCCTGATACTTGATGGTAGTGTGTCATTACAAAGATACTGGTAAGCGCTACCAGCCTTGTCCCCAGCTATTAAATTTGTTAGTGTAAGTGTAATTCAAATTCAAGTACTGGTTCAGAAACTCAAGGTGAATTTTCCGATTTTATTTTGAAAAATTTATTTAGAGGCACCTGGGTGGCTCAGTCGGTTGAGCATCTGACTTCAGCTCAGGTCATGGTCTTGCAGTTCGTGAGTTCGAGCCCCTTGTTGGGCTTTGTGCTAACAAACATCTCAGAGCCTGGAGCCTGCTTCAGATTCTGTATCTCTCTCTCTCTTTCCCTCTCTCTCTCTCTCTCTCTCTCTCTCTCCCTCCCGCTCCTCTGCTCATGCTCTGCCTCTGTCTCTCAAAAATAAATAAAGTTAAGAAATTTTTTAAATTTATTTTTAATACTTCTTTATTTTAAGCTTATTTATTTACTTTGAGAGAGAGCATGCGAGCAGGGAGAGGGGCAGAGAGAAAGGAGAGAATCCCAAGCAGGCTCTGCACTATCAGCATGCAGCCCGATGCAAGGCTCGGTCTCCCAAACCATGAGATCATGACCTGAGCTGAAATCAAGAGTTGGACACTTAACTGACTGAGCCACCCAGGTGCACCCAATTTTCTCTTTTTAAAGATCTTAGTAATGTATAACATAAAAAGAAAATAAAAATATTATTTTCTCTAGGAAAACCTAATCATTAATAGGGTAGAAGAAACCTGGCATGTTGATGCAGCAAAAAGCTGACCCTTCAGGTGGATTAGTTCATGGGAATCCTTCTGAATAGAAGTGTTATCTTGCAGATAAAGAATATGTTTCTTCGGGCTTGTTTTAGTGAAAGCAGGAAACACAGGAGTTTACTTTTCTTTTTAAGTTTCAGTATGTTAGAAGTAAGTTTGGTCCTTCCTTCTCTAAGAATTCCTTGAAAAGTTTCCAATTTATCAAGGTTATTTAATAAATAAGCATTTTCACAATTATGTTCTGCCCATGCCTTGTTGCTGCAGAAGAATTTGGTAATGCTGAATTGTTGGCCTTGTGCTTATATTCTTTTTTACACAACTGTTACCACCCTGGAATTATTAGAATTTCCCTATTAAGGAGGAAATGGATTACAGGAGGGAAACTTGTATAAACTTGAATATCTCTTGGTGTATTTCCGTATGTTTAAGACATGGACAAGTGAATATGAAAACAGGTTCCTTGTTAAAAGTAAATTATCCTTTTTTTTTTTAATGCCTCACTATAAA